GTGTGTGTGTGTGTGTGTGTGTGAGTGTGAGTGAGTGAGTGTGTGTGTGTGTGAGTGAGTGTGTGTGTGAGTGTGTGTAGCTGCATGTCGCATCAGAGGAACAAACTGCACAGATGGCAACACACACACACATACACTACTACCTCCCTCACAGTCTCAGCAGAGAGCAACACACACCTTCTGTCACATGATCTCTGTTTGGGTCGACATGCACATTCACAAATGCTACAGATAGAGCACACTACTAAACACACACACACGTCAGCAGCCCTCTCCATCATATGTCAGTGAGATCACTGCGTGACGATGGACGTTTCATCATGAGTTTAAACACACCAGCAGCAGCCGGCGCTCATGTGTGACACGTGTGCAGGTCACCTGATCGTCACGTGTTCCCGGAGATCCTGCTGATAACCTTGAACACGTATGAACACCCTGAAATGATTGAGGCTGAAGTATACATGGACAGGTGGGCTAATTTCATCTGTTATGTAGTCCATGACACATAATGGACTGAATGACTGAATCTCAAGACACATAAACAGTAAAATAGTCCACAACCATAAGCAAATGGACTTATTAACTTAAAAATGTTACAAATGTTTATTTCCAGACCCTTCACACTCTCTGCTCCTCGATGGAATAATTAGCTGCAAACCTCCAGCTGATCTTCTGAGACCATCAAAATGTGCAAGCAGCTGAAGACAACACAAACACTTCACTAATGCACAACATTAAAACAAGACACTTACACCAAAATAGAATCATTTCCCTTTTCTTTTCCACATTTCACCTCTGCTCGTCTGCCTCGCGAAGTTTGGACTTACTTTGTTATCAAAGTGATCTTAAGTTTGGAGGGAGAGTGTTTTATGAACAGAAAACACAAAGCGCTGTAAGAAACTCTGCTCAGCACACAGTTATCTGTGTCTCTGGAACGTCTGTGTCGGCGCACGTTCTTATTGTTATCAGATTGAGGAGCCAACTTTCACCCGAGCATGTGGATGTTATTGTTTTTCTCAACATTAACATGTAAAACAATATAAACACGATAAACAAAGGCTGACTCGAGTGTATGTGTGTTCTGTACTGTAATTGGCACTGTCTGCTTTATTTTTACATTTGCTCTGCTTGAGCTTGAATGTTTTTGGTCTTTATAAATATGTGACTCTGGAGCACAAAAGCGGTCTTAAGTCGCTGGGGTATATTTGTAGCAATGGCCAACAATACATTGTATGGGTCAAAATTATTGATTTTTCTTTTATGCCAAAAATCATTAGGATATTAAGTAAAGATCATGTTCCATGAAGATATTTTGTAAATTTCCTACTGTAAATATATCAAAACTTAATTTTTGATTAGTAATATGCATTGCTAAGAACTTCATTTGAACAACTTTAAAGATGATTTTCTCAATATTTAGATTTTTTTTGCACACTCAGATTCCAGATTTTCAAATAGTTGTATCTCAGCCAAATATTATCTTATCCTAACAAACCATACATTAATGGAAAGCTTATTTATTCAGCTTTCATGTGATGTATAAATCTCAATTTTGAAAAATTGACACTTATGACTGGTTTTGTGCTCCAAGGTCATATATATAGCCTAGGGCTGCACGATATATCGTTTCAGCATCGATATCACGATGTGCGCATCCTGAAATACTGTGCTCTGCAAGTATCCTTGTAAACGCAGTTGCTTATGGCTTAGGTGAAGGGAAACAGTTGAGAAAGAAAATGGATGTGGAACAGTATATTGGTTTACAGCAGTTTAATGTTCCTGTTGCTTTCTGTGTTATGAATGTCAATCAAACAACCAAACACAAAGAAAACTCACTTTTGTAGCTTTAAACACAGATTTAATCGATTTAATTTATACAGTGAAGGCTATGCGCAGTTATTTTACATTTGATTATTCAATTTCTGTACCTGAATACTGTTAGACTTACCTGAAAAATATAAAGCACTGCTTATTTCATTTGTATCTTTGCTCTGTTATTTATCTATGCTTGTAATTTGTTTATTTCTTGATTTACTCGCCTACAAAATCACCACAATCACACTGATTTTTTTTTTTCCAAATAGAGCTATTGAAATCATCTGATTTTTTTTC